TTCATGGTCAGATCTGGTCACGCCTGATCATATATGGTCAGATCTGATCATTGATCAGCGATCATGGATCAGATCTGATTATATATGATCAGATCTCACCTAATGTAAGAAATTTAAAGATCTGAGGAAATATATAGGGTCAGATCTGGTTATATTTGGTCAGATCTAATCAAAATCAGTGATCATATATGTAAGATCTGATTAGAAGTGATTTTATATTATTAGATATGAACAATGTACAGATCTGAAGGGTCAGATATGGTCATTTTTGGTCAGATCTGATCAATGATCAGTGATCTATGATCATATATGTAAGATCTGATCATATATGACCATATCTTGGTGAAAAAAAAATAATTTAACGATTTTAAGCGATCTACTTGGTCAGATCTGATCAATTATCAGTGATCATATATGTAAGATTTGATTATATGTGATTTTATAATATCAGATATGAGCAATATACAGATCTGAAGGGTCAGATATGGTCATGGTGGGTCAGATCTGATCAATGATCAGTGATCAGTGATCATATATGTAAGATCGGATCATATTTTGGTAAAAAAAATTAATTTAAAGATCTACTTGGTCACATCTGGTCAGATCTGATCAGTGATCAGTGATCACAAACATAAAATCCGATTTTTTCTCTATAAAAACCATGAAAAAAAATATTTCTACTCAATAATTTTCAATTACTGATGTAACATTGTACGTCTGGTATTGATCGGGAAACCCTGAAAATATTAAAGCGGACAGTTAATTCGTTAAATTGCTATTAATTAGATTAATGAGTTCCTTTCCAATTAGCGGAGTTTGTCCTGCCGGGTTCTCCGGTTCCTTTTTTTTATTTTTTTTCCTAATTAATTATCATTTTAACGTTATTATGCTCTCTGGCGTTTTTACTTCATTACCTTGACATAATTAATACCATATATTTGTGTTTTAACGTTCGACGTCCGCAGTTAACTTACTGTTTTATCTTTTCACTCTTCTCTATTAAATATAAAATAAAAGGATCCAATTTTTCTAAAGCAACGACATTTTTTTTTTCAAATTAAAAATGACTTTTTAAACGATCAATTTATTTTATTTTTTTTTTCATTTTAAGTATCTCATGAAATTATTAAATGTTTGAACAATAAATCGGATCGTTGATTGGATAATTAGCGATAGATTTACCCGGAAATAATAAAAAAAAAAAATTGAGATGATCAAACGTAGGTGCAGCGGCATCAGGAGAATTTGGAAATGCAATCAATCTATCAATCAGCACACAAGAGAAAACGTGACGAGAATTAAATAGGGTACCGTTGAACGAATGATAGCTCGATAAAAGAATAAAGAACAAAAAATAGCTAACGACAGAATAAAATAAAAAAAAAAAAAGGAAGTCTAAAATAAAAGAAGAAGAAGCAAACTCGCGAACAAAAGTAAAAGACAAAAGACAAAAGACGGCAAGATGAAAGCACTCGGTCTAACCTTCGTCACATTCACTCATTGATTTTAGATATTTTTTCGCCTCTTTTATCTTCCTATTCCTTCTCTATGGGCAATCAGTGTTCCGTTAACGTTCCACGGCTTTATTCTTCCCCCCGACTGTAGATCTTGTATCCATAGTAATCGATTTTTCCAAATTATTTAACTAAAAAATAATAAAAATGTGATAATAGTCGCTGATTTTATTTTTATTCCGTACGTGTATTTTTTTTTTTTTTTGATTTTGTATATATGTTCCGTGGGGCTTTGTGTAAAATTCTTCTTTTTTTTATTTATTTTATTTAGTGTCTTCCACTTTCATCGACTCGCCCTCCCCAGCGCGCTCACAAAGCCCTTCGGTTGACTTTTACATCTACAAAAGTTCTACCGAAGTTCAATGGACATGTCAAATGTCAATTCATTGATTTTTATTCATTTTTAAATCCAATTATTTTTTTTATTATGCTAAAACACCTGAGCTGAAAAATTGACAGTTTATTTATGGATTTATTTTTATTTATTGTTTATTTTGTTGATTCCGGGTTTTTATTTCATTTATTTATTTATTTTTTTAGTAATAGTAGTAGAAATTGTGCCGGGAGGAGTTTATAACTGGGGGCGTAGGAAAGTAATTGATAAAATAGTTCGATTTCAATGAAAAAATTACCAATTATTCTTTGAAGTATGTAGATTCTTAGAATCCAGGCGAAGAATTAAAAAAGTAAATAGTTTTACTAGAAAAAATTATTTAAAAGTCAATTTTTAGAATTTTGAATATTTTTCTTGGAAAAATTTTTATTAAATGGAGACGTAGGAAAGAAGTTGATAAAATTAATTGATTTTAATGAAAAAATTACCAATTACTCTTTGAAGTATGTAGATTCTTAGAATCCAGGCGAAGAATAAAACAAATTAATAGTTTCGCTAGAAAAAATTATTTAAAAGTTAATTTTAAAAAATTTTGACATTTTTATTAGAGAAATTGTTAATAAATGGAGGCGTTGAAAAAAGGTTGACAAAATTTTTTGATTTCAATGAAAAAATTACCATTTACTCTTCAAAGTATCTAGTTTCAAAGAATCTAAACAAAGAATTAATATAATGAATATTAACACCAAAATAAATAACAAAAAAAACCATGAATGCCCCAATAAAAAATTCTAAACAACCCCGAGTGGCAAAAATAAAAAATTCAAACAATGGGAACAATAACAATCCATATGTAAATACCTAAGTAAAGTAAAAATGTTAAAAAATGTATGAACAAAATAAAAACTCGAAAAAAAGCTTGGGTTCTCTTGAACTGGGGCAAAAAGGTGAAATTCAACACACAATGAGTCTCTTCGGGGCCATTGTCCGTTGTAAATGTATTTTTTAGGTAATCCCCGAAAGAGAGAGCAGTAAAGAGCAAAAAGGGCGAAACTTGTGAAGAAGCGAGCCTGAAGAGGGTCAGGTACAATACAATACACCCGGTACAGTTTGCTATAGCTCCTACATACAGTATCCTCCATTCGTATTCGGGCTTATACTCCGGAGCGGGCGTATCGATGCAGCTTATCGGCGGCTCAGCCGTTAATGGAAGTGAAAGCGCACCTAAGGGCTGACGTTTTCTCATATATACAATAGCAAAAAGAAAAAAAAGGAATAATAGTAACAAAAGTGAAATTTTTAAAAATTCACTCTAAAATAATTTTTTCTAGCCAAACTATTAATTTTTTCAATTCTTTGCCTGGATTCTAAGAATCTACATAGTTCAAAGAGTAATTAGTAATTTTTTCATTAATATAAAAAAATTTTATCAATTACTTTCCTACGCCTCCATTTCTCAAAATTTTATCCAAGAAAATCATTAAAAATTTTAAAAATTGACTTTTAAATAATTTTTTCTAACCAAATTATTAATTTTTTTAATTCTTCGCCTAGATTCTAAGAATCTACATACTTTAAAGAGTAACTGGTAATTTTTTCATTGAAATCAAATTATTTTGTCAACTTCTTTCTTACACCCTCATTTTTATTTTAATTTTCTAACAAAAATACCAAAAATTTATAAAATTGACTTTTTGAATAATTTTTTCTAACCAAACTATTAATTTTTTTAATTCTTTGCCTAGATTTTAAGAATCTACATACTTTAAAGAGTAATTGAGAATTTTTTCATTAAAATAAAAAAATTTTATCAATTACTTTTCTACGCCCTCAATCCTCAAAATTTTTTTCAAAAATTTACTTTTAAATAATCTTTCCAAGCAAAATTATTTGTTTATAATAATAATAACACCAGCAATAATAATAATAATAATAATAATAATAATAATAATAATAATAATAATAATAATAATAATAACATAGCTGAAGGAAAAATAATTTTAGTGCCAGCTCTCGGACATATTTATAAGCTCATAAAAATAAAGGACTTTTCGCAGGAAGAATCGGCAGTAAAATTACGCTATGAATAACGTTCATTCGGTTCTCTGGAGTTTTATTATTATTACACCCTGTTATTTTTATTATTTGTCATTATTATTGCTACTGTGACTGGAACTGGGACTGAAACTTTTAAAACTGATAAATCCAATGACAGATAATTTGTCATAGCTCATGGCGCATGGCTCATTGGATAATCCGAATATTTATAGAGTATCCTCTTCTCTATACATTCTCTATCTATCTATCTATCTATCTATACAGTCCGTGATACTAGCACAGTTTCATTATGTTCATCCTCGGCGGTACCATAAACTCCATTTTCCATCTCTGATAAAATTAATACCAACTCTTCTGTCCTATAAACACGTGTATCGCGATCGTTAATTATTACGGTACTATTTAATTTTAATTTACGCGCTTTTACATTTAATTCATTCATTTTTCACTTTTTTTTAGTGACTAGTGAATTATTTAAATTATGAGCAAGTGTAATTTATATTAATGCTGTTAAAGTTCACTGATTAATTCTTACATTCATTTCCCGAGCGGGGACGAAAATAAATAGTGCGGATGGAAAAAATAGAAAATAATTGGTAACTTCTAGGAACTAGTTTCATTTTTTATGATTTATGTAATAGAGGATTTAAATTCTGTAGAATTATTATTTTATTAGAGCAAATGAATGAGCCACGATTATTAATATTTATAGCTTGAGAATATTGAATATTCAGTGACAGTGATATTAAAGTGAATAATTACGATTGAATTAATATTTTAATATCTATTTTTAATTTTTAATTCTTTTTTTTTCTGATGATTTTTGACGTCTAAAAATTTTTGATTTTTTTTATTAATTAAATTACAACTAAAAGAGCATTTCTAAAAAATTGCACTTATAGTTTTTCAAGTTTTTAACATGTGAATTTTTTTTTTTTAATTTTTTAATTAAAATTTTTTCAATAAAAAATTTCTAAAAGTTTTTAAATATCAGCTAACTTGATTTTCATAGATACAGCTATTTTTCCAAGTTACAACATAGAATTAACATCACCTAAAAATTACTATTTAAAAAACTCACCAGAATCATGTTCCTATGCCCACAAATGTTGCGAAGGCGGTGGAGGAGGAGGTGGCAAAGGCAGAGGTCTCTCAAGCACAGGAATCGGCGAGACATCAGGCATGGCGAACTTTAATTTCTGCCAGAACAGCTTATCCCCCCAAACGAGAACCGTGTGCGAGGAGATCCTCTTCCTCAGATCAGCGTCAAGGTCCCTGGGGCAGACGCCTCCAACAAGTAACAAAATAACAGACCTGCCCTTGCCCCTGAGAGCCTCCCTGAGCGCGGCCTTGAACTCGAACCTGGACCACTCTCCATGTAGGAAATTCCTGGACAAGATAAGAATGGTCCTCCTGGAGGAGTCCGCAGCCTCCGCAACAGCGTCCGCAACATTGGCTCCAGCCCCAAGGTCTCTGTAGTGCAGGCAGAGCCTGTAAGACGACTCCAGACCGGGAACCAGGACCCTCGACACGAAATTTTCGTCAACGGCCGAATAGGAGATGTAAGCATCGAAGGGTTTCTCCCGGTCCTCAAAGGCCGCAGTCTTGTAGCAGGCTCTCAATCCGCACCTGCTGGCTGCCCAGGCCCTGAGCGTCCTCCTGTGCCTGAACGCTCCGCAGATCAGAGCGACCATCGCGAAGAACAGCACCGCAGTGGCCAGCAGGAGCGGCAGATACGCCTCCAGCTGCCTGGTTTCGATTGCGGAAGTGGTTCCGGTCAGCGCAGCACAATTTACCACCGTTCCGTTGACCACCAGGTTGATGGGCATCCCCAATTCGCAGGTGACCCGCTTCCAGTCGGAGATCTTGACCTGGTTCTTGGTCATCCAGTCGCGAACCTGGTCCAGGAATCCGCACTCGCAGCTCCAAGGGTTGCTGGAGATGCTGATGTCCACCAAATAAGGGTTCAAGGACAGCTGCCAGAGTGCGAAGGTCTTGAGCTTGTTGTTGTCCAGCCTGAGAACCTCCAAGTGGGTCAGAGCATTGAAGGTTCCATTGTCAATGTACGTCAGGAGGTTGTTCTGGAGGTACAGCTCTTTCAGGTTCTCCAGCGGGATTAATTCCGGGCCGTTCAGCCGGCCTATCCTGTTGTTCTCCAGGTGCAGAACCACCAGCCGCTTCAATCCGCTGAAGGTATGATTGTGGATGGTGATGATGTTGCTGTCGTTGACGTAGAGCACCTCCAGGTTCTTGCGGCCGATAAAGGAATGGGAGGTGAGCTCGCTGAAGTTGTTCCCGTCTAGGTAAACCTCAGTTGCGTCCATGGGCAGCCGCCCTGGCAAGGTTTTGTAGTCAGAATTGGAGCAATCTACGACATTTGCTGACCAGGACTGGTCGTGGTAGCACGTGCAGTTACTCGGACAGGTCATCTCGCAGTCACAGGCGTCAAAGTCACAGCAGTGGCACAGGGCGAAGCAATGGGCTTTGTAGGTACACAGGAATTGAGATGGCTTGGCTTCCAGCAGCGACACAAAGGAACGGTGTCGATTGTACGGAAGCCGACAGTAGACTAGTTCCAAGTCCATGACACGTGGGTGCTGTCGGAGTGACAGCGAATTTATCCTTTGAAGCCACTCGATCGTGCAGTCGCAGATAAATGGGTTACCTCCGATATAGAATTCAGGAAGAGCCCGGGTTTCTGGAATTTGGCTTAGTTGCAAAGCAGAGAGGTCCATTTTGACGATCTGGTTCGCGTAGAGGTCCACGCGGGTTAGATTTATTTTGTCGTAGAAGGTCTTGGGCTGGACGGTGTGGATCTTGTTGTCGTTGACGAACAGAAGCTCTATGGAGTCTGGGACGGATTTGGGGTCGATGCGAGTCAGCTCGTTGAAGGAGACGTCCAGGGTTTGGAGGTGAAGATTGCTGGGAGCGACTCCGAGGTCTTGGATCTTGTTTTTGTGAAGGTCCATCCATTGAAGCTTCTCGGGAAGCAGTGCGTAGTCGAAGTGGTTGATTTGATTGTCAGACATGTTCAGCCAGAGCAGTCCGGGAGTGTTGGCGAAGACTCCTGTCATGTCCTGGAGGTAGTTAGCGTCCAGTCTGATCGCCTGCAAGGTTTCGTTGCTTGCAAACGCTCCGTATTCAATGTACTCTATCTTGTTTCTCGCGAGATTTAGAATCTGCAATTTAGGAAGTTCGGCAAAAGCACCACGAGTCACATTAACTATTTCATTGCCGATCATTCTGAGCCCGTACAAACTGGTCATTCCACGGAAACCGGGCTTGTCGAGAGTTTTGATTTGGTTCTCACCCAGGTCAAGAGTTCTTAACAGCCGCATGTCCTTCAGCGCAATTGGAATGTACTCAAAGTTGTTCCCTGATAGATTGAGATCCTGCATGTTGGAGCAGTTACGAAGCGCATCTGGGTGGATACCTTCCAGAGCGTTAGAATCCAACGACAACAACGACAAAACATACAGTCCGTTGAGCGAGTAAGCGTCCAGGTACGTCAGTCTGTTGTGCGACAATTCAAGCGTGTGGAGATTTCTCATCGGAGAAAACGTATCAGCCGGAATGATTTCTATCTCATTGAACTGGAAGTTGAGAATCTGGAGGGTGTAGAGGTCTTTGAACAACTCCGGGTCGATCTTGTTGATCTTGTTCCTTGATAAATCCAAGAGCACCAGCCTCACCAGACCGGCAAAGGTATTGCCGTCTAGCCAAGAACTAGTAAGCATGTTCCTCGACAAATCGAGAGTGACAAGCTGGCTCATGTTGATCAGCAATCCTGGCGCCAATGCGCTGATCGAGTTATTCTGGAGTCTCAGCTCCTTCAGAGTGTTAGTCGCGTCTTCGAACATTCCAGCCGGGAGGGCGACAATCCGATTGCTAGACAGATCGCATACTTCAAGGGATCTCAGCCCCTTCAAAGCCGCATCGTCAACCACTCTGATTACATTTCCAGACACATTGAGCGTTCTAAGCCTCTGCAGTGAGGAGAACCCGTGAGACGGCAGAACTGAAATCTGGTTGTTAGACACATCCAAGCTCTGGATGTCCAGCGAACATGTGATTTGCGTCACCACCGGAGCGGAATCAACGTCCCGTTTAGAAACACCGACACTGTAATCACTGAACCCCAACTCCGCCACGTCCTTCAACATGTTCCAAGACACGTTCAGCGTCACCAAGCTCGTCAAAGGGCAGAAGACACCCTCAGGAAGCTGCCAGATGTTGTTCCCAGACAGGTCCATCTTCTCGATCAGCCGGGTGATCTCAAAGGCGCCTTTTTCCAATTCAAAAACATCCTGATTCTTGCGATCCTGGTTAGCTCCTCTGACCGTCAGGTTTCGCAAGTCATGGAACCCTGCCAGGACCTTTCCTGACCAGCTCCTCACCTGGCAGCCCAGCACCTTCAGGTCCTTCAGCCTCCATAAGTGCGAGTACTCCTCCACCAGCTTGGCCGCTTCAAGGTCACCCTCAGCTCCTGAATTTTCCTTGGATCTGATTGATGCTTGCAGATTATCCTCGCAGATTATCGTCAGGGCAGTCACGTATTCTCCTAGAACTCTTGAAATGTTCAAGTGGGAGCTGCCCCAGTGAGTGTGGACGCAGCTCAACCAGGTCTCTTGCTGAATTGTGCACTGCGCTGGTAAATCGTATTTCAAGGAACTCGGCGAGCTGGTCACCGCCAGGACGCTGCTTCGCGAGGACAATGACAAAGATGTGATCCAAATCCAGGCAACCAATAAGTGGTCGAGAGCCAGCCAGCGGTAGCTCATTTCTGACCGGAATTAGCTTGGTTTCCGGCAGAGTTTTGACGTTTCTACCAGATGCAGCCTTTCAAGCACAGATCATTTTTTATTGGGTGCTTTGATTCGGACCGCAGCAATTCTGACGACCTCCGAGTCTTAAAAAAAGACGCTGAGGTTAACATCTCCCGGCTTTTTGCCTCCAGCGGGTTGGTTCAGTCCAGATTGTTGAGAATCCTCATCCAAACGTCCAAAGTTAGAATTAGGGGTGATTTTTTTTATCTTAGAGCTTGAAGCAGAGCTCAAAGTTTAATTATGTCGCTAAAACACGCCCTGGAGGTAACTTGACCGGCATTTAGGGTTTTTTTCACTGCTTTTCACTCACTTTATCACTGGATCATCTTTGGGGATTAACTGACACTTTTGTGGGCAGAAGAATCATCGCGTTTACTCAAAACATAAAATCCTGGCACAATTCAAAAAATCACACTTACACCAATTGGGATAAAACAAATACAAGTCGCGGGTTTAGATTAGTAGAGGCGGAGCTACACGAAGTGGACCGTCACGACCGGAGTCTTCCGCACAACTGACGGGAGATCGCAACGGACTTTTACTCTGAGCGACTACGACGCAACATCACTGGTACCGGTTCCCCTTCCCTAAGGGACTGCCACTTCCACTTCTACTACCATCTCCTTCTCCATCTCTATCGGTATTCTTCTGTTACTACTACTGGTGGTGGTAGTGGTGGTGGTGATGCTGCTAGCGAAGTAGAGTACGGCTACAATAACAAGTATATATAATACAGAAGCAGAAACTGGTAACTGGTGAGAATAGGACACAAATACTGTAATATACAGGACGAAGAGTCTATAGTATAATTTAAACTACTGTGTGTTACGGGTGTTACTACCACACTGATAAGGGCAGTAATACAAAGTGTATCGACAGGCTAGACCAGGACTCCAGACTCTTGCTACTTACGTTATTGTGTATACATTCATAAATTTCAGATAGTTTTGTATTTATAATGGTAATGCAAACAGAGCTTTTATTTTCAATATGCTTTTTATGCTTTAAGTTATTATTTTATGATTGAGAGGTTTATAGAGGAAATTTTAAATTTTTATTAGAGATTCATAATTTTTTTATTAATGTTTTTTATTTTGAAATTGAGCATAAATTTCTTTTGGTCAAATCATTGGTCATATCTGGTCACATATGATCATTATGGTCACATATGGTCAGATAAATGATCATTATGGTCACATATAATTATATCTGGTCACATATGATCATTATAGTCAGATAAATGATCATTACGGTCACATATGGTCAGATAAATGATCACCTGTCATTATATCAAGTCAGATGTGATTACATTTGATCACATACGGTTGTTTATTTGGTCATGTATGATCACGCATGGTCATATATGGTCACATATGATCATTATGGTCAGATAAATAATCATTATGGTCACATATGGTCAGATAAATTATCATTATGGTCACATATAATTATATCTGGTCACATATGATCATTATGGTCACATATGGTCAGATAAATGATCATTATGGTCACATGTGGTCAGATAAATGATCATTATGGTCACACGAGGTCATATTTGATCATTAATGGTGAAATATGATTATATGTCGTCAAATTCGATCACATATATTCAAATAACTGGATATATATGGTCGTAAGTAGTTATATTGATCACAAATGGTCAGAAAATTGATCACATATGATCACGAATGGTCATATAATTTTTTTTCTCTAAAAAATTTGTTGATTAAATTAAACGATGAAGCACGATCGCTAGACTAATTAGCAAATATTTAGGCAACTAAAATAATATCATTGATTTGTCCTGAGTGGTAGATTATTAAACAATATGGACCAGAGGAAATATAAAACCGGAATTGGAATCACTGTTTCGAAAACCAGTATGTCATACACGGCATTGTCCGGGTAACTGTTATGTATGTGAGTAAAGGCCCATCAGTTGTTGTCAGCTGATGAATACCTTCACACGTGTATTCAATTTTCGGCATGTGAGATTGTGTGTGTATGCACATGTGAAGTACGGGTTTGTCTGACAGAGACGTAGGCAGTGGGACACGATACACATGCCGGAACTCGGCAATCACCCGAGCTTTCCTAAGGGAATCCGATCCCGTGGCCACCATTTTGAGCTACATGCAACATTCTATTCAATTAAACCGATTCAATATATTTTTTTTTAAGTTGTGGCTGTTGATTTTGTTGTTTTAGTCGAGCTAATTATTCGTATCCGATCGTTTTATTTATCTGCTGGAGTATTGAGCGTACATTATCGAGTTAATATTATACTGATGGATTTTATTTATTTTTACACGAATAATTTATATAATTTTTTTTTATATAAATTTAAACGATTTGGTTTTTTTCGAGCTACTCAGACATTCTTCGGATAATTTATAAATATTGTATTACATATAACATGTGAATAATAAATGTACGACCTGGTGGTAGAAAAGGTGAAGATTTTTATTTTATTTTTTTTTAACCCAGTTACTTTAAATAATCTGGAAAGTTAATACTTTATGAAAATTTATTTAAATGTGTATGGCATAGTATGAAACGAAATGGAGTAATATAAGTTTTTTTAAAAATAATTGTTACGTGACGGAGGAAATAAAAGAGGTAAAGTTTACTGTAGCCCGTAGTGAAGTCTGGTCGAGAGACCGAGTTTGGCAGCAGTACTTTAAAGTTAAACAGCCGAGTTGTAAAAGCCCGAGCAAATAAAACAATCCGGGAATAAGAGAGGACAAACCCGTACAGGTGTTAAACTACCTTTTTTTTTCTTTATTTTTTCTCTTTCAATGAAAATTTTACCCGGTTACATCCATCTGAAAACTATCAACTTTGTCAAAGCTTACAATTTGCAATCTATGAAAATTGATATATAAATAAATTTATTTATTTTATTTATTTTTTTTAGTGTCAAAAAAAAATTTTATAAAATTCGTTTTTTTTTTTCAATGATGATATAAAATTAGATCTGATCATATATGATCAGATCTGATCATATATAACAAGATCTGATCATATATAACAAGATCTGGTCATATATTGTCAAATTTTTCAAAAGTGGTCAGATCTGGTCACATATATGGTCATATGTGATCACATATGGTCAGATCTGGTCACATATAATCAGATCTGGTTTTATAGGATCAGATCTGGTCGTATATAGTCACATAACTAATTATTTATGGTAAAATCTGATCATATAAAAATCTGGTCAGATCTAGTCATATCTGGTCACATATGACCAGATCTGGTCTTACAGGATCTGATCTTGTCTCATACAGTCACATAACTAATTATGTATCGTCAGATCTGGTCACATATGGTCACATATTATCAGATCTGGTCTTATAGAAACAGATCTGGGCATATATAGTCATATAATTAATTACATATAGTTAGATCTGATCATATATAATCACGATTGATCACATGTAATCAGATTTGGTCACACATGATCAGATCTGATCGCATATAGTCATATAACTAATAAAATTTGATCATATATAGTCAAATTTGGGTCATATGTGATCACATATGACCAGAACTAATTTACCGTTCTACCCTACGCACTTATTTTCTTTGATGCCCGATAAAAGAAGTTTTAATTAAACAAAAAACGGCCGTTTAATCGAGCAAAGGGGATTAATTGCAAGCGAGGGTTCAGCTCAAATCGTAAGCGAGTGAAATTCCAATTGTAGGAAGGGAATAAGAGTTGAAAAAAGAGCAAGATAGTGAAGGGCTCTGGTATGGGTCTACATCCGATTTAACAGAGTATTTACATGTGTATATGCATGTCTATTCGATGGAAGTATTAAGTATAAGCAAGTAACCCTCGTCTGAACCTCAACCTCAAACAGATAAAACGGTTCGCATAAATATCCGCGACTTTCGACTCTTTGTTTTGGGGATGTTTTGTTCCTGTTTGTTTGTTTGTTTTCGAGCTCGACCAGTGTACTCTAGTTTTAAAATGCTGTTTTAATCTTTTTGCTAATACTACGTTGGTTGGAGTGAATAAATTAACTGGATACACACCAACACGGGATGGGAAATTAAAACAAACGGGTAAGAAGGTTACGTGGCTAATATAAGGGATTAGTGTTCTTAAATTAAGGGACCTTTTTTGTGGAAACATTATCATTTTTTATCATTATAAAATTTCAATAAATTTTAAATTATTAAAAATAGTTATCCGAAAAAAAAAAAAAAAAAAAAAAAAAAAAAAAAAATATAGTCAAAAACTTTTTCCACTTTTGGTCAATAAAAAGGAAACAACAGCAGTTATATTCTATCCAAAATTGAAGTATATATTATTACCACAGACAATAATTGAATTATTAATGATAGTTTTATGAGAGTTTGCAATCATACTCCAAACTCAAACTCAAAATATCGAGTTATGATTTAGATTTAAGCTATAACAAAACAAACATTGTTACCAAACCAAAACTTACACATAAACACAACACCCATTGAATTCACAACAATTTCATTCAAACAATCTAATAAACCGGAAGTTCATATTCGTAAAGTTATAATAGGTTTTGAATTACAGTATTGTAGCCGTATCAAATCGACAATACTCCCTACCAATCGTTATAACAATCACTATTATGCAAAATATTTGCGTAATATTTTCTTCGATTAATGATAAGTTGAATTGTCAATTTTTTATTGTACGAAATAATATATATAAGTGAGTAGAAGTTTTAACTAAGCTCGCGGACCTAATTATTGAATTAACAGGAAGTATGAGAAGTGACTTGGACCCCAGTGGTGTTCCTCGAACTAACCCTGTACTTTGAAAAGTTAACATTCCCGTTTGTACACACATTCCCGGTACTCGATTCACTCCGTCTGCGCACTGCACTGCAGTGGTATTGAATTGACATTCGTACAATGTGCATACAAACTATTTAATGTGCTCTCAAATGTTTGCTTTTGACATA